CCTGCCTGCTTGACGCCCTTCTCCTTGGCCGAGGCCCTCCTCCCGCCCCCTGCTCTGCCTCCCCTGGGTCCCCTCCTCTGATCCCTCATCCACCTCCTCACCCGGCCTTCTTGCAAGGGCGCGCGTGTCGAGTTTCCTTGGCGCCGTCGCCGCCTCGACAGGCAGGTGTGCGTTCTCCGATGGCCAGATCGCGCAGCCGTAGATCGGGCCCGATCGATAGGTCTCTCCCGCTCCAGACTGCCTCGCGATTTGCCCCCTGGGGGTGCTCAATTGCTATGCCTGCTACAGTAGGCCGATGACCGCCTCGAATTACTTGATAAGGGGCGTGCCGCATAGGAAAGGGGATTCAGCCGAGGTTCCCGCTCGAGACGACATCCTCTAGAGCTAAGCCCCAAGAGCCCAAAAATGACGACAGTAACTTATTTGGGATGGCCCCGTTCGGATTCCAACATGGAAGTGGAGACTCCATGGGGAGGGGCTCCCGCTCAAGACTTCTGTTGTATTCACTCACACACGAGGCTCCCGCTCTCATGAGCCCAAAAGCGACGACATTTATAAGGTTTGGATGGCCCTGCTCGGATTCCAACATGGAAGTGATGGCCCCATAGAAACGGACTCCCGCTCGAGAACTCCTCACGATTCACTCACACACGAGGACTTCTTCCAGATTCAGGCCTCAGGGGCTCAAATTTGACGACAGTTACATCTCGGGTCGCGAAAAAATCAAGCCCGGGGGGGGCCGAGCCAAAGCAGGGTCACAAAAACAACTCGAGCTGAGAGACCGGTGCCCCGGGAAGGAGTCGAGTCGTCCCGACGTCGGGGTCTGGAAGACAGCAGGAAGGCACTTCAAGCAGGTTGGGCCTCGGCCGCCCCTGGCAAACAGGAGAAAGGAATACCGCCCGACGATGGAGACAGGAAGGCGCCGAAAGCACATCTGGACGTGACGGTGCAGGAGCGCCTGCACCCCACTGCCGAGGGAAGAGAAGGGCTGGCGGCGCGCCGAAGAAGAAGGGGTCGAGGCGAGAGGGGGGGACGGCCGTTCGAGAAGGCAGGGGGGGCTTCTCGAGAGGAGCAGATTAGCCCCTCAGTGGACCGGCAGACGAAGAGCACGAATCCGGACAAAGTGAAACGCTCAGAAGTCCGCGCGGGTCTCTTGGGTCGGCGCTGGACCCCTCCCCCGTTTGCGCGCGAGGCGCGCCCGGGGCGGCGCTGGGGGCGCCAACCCCAGGGGATTGTCACTTTCGATCCAGAGGCCTACGGGAAAGCTGCTTGGAGAACGCACGGCAGCTTCCAAGAGGCGGGGTCCGTTCCCTTCCCGAAGGGGTTGCCCCTCTGCCTCTGCCCTCTCTTTCGCGCCGCCGGAGCAGTGGAAAAGGGGGGGGCGATGGGAAAGGCTCAGGCCTGGGAGACGGAGCACAAATCATCCTGCCGAGCGTCCCAACCATGTGCAGTTGTGAATCACGCAGTTGCGAGTATCGTCCTCGGTGGAGCTCCCTACAGGGCCACGACGCGTGCGATGGGTGTGACAAAATGGGTGCGGGTCCGCGATGCGGGCGCCGCCACTGAGGCCTTCGGTGGAGTTCACTATGGGGCCACGAAACGTGCGGGAGGTGCTCCGAAACGAGTGGAACCGCATGCGGGCGCTGCCGCCGGACCCTTCGGTGGAGCTCACTATGGGGCCACGACGCGTGTAAGATGTGCGCCGACATGGGAGGTGGAACCGCATGCGGGCGCTGCCATTGAGGCCTTCGGTGGTGCTCCCCATGTAGCCACGAAACGTGTGGGGGTGCGCCAGAACGGGCGGTTGAACCGCATGCGGGCGCTGCCATTGGGGACTTCGGTGGAGCTGCCTATGGGGCTACGAAACGTGTAATGGGTGCGCCGGAATGAGCGGTAGAACCGCGTGCGGGCGCTTATGGGGTCACGAAACGTGTGAGGGGTGCGCCAATGGTGGGTGGAACCGCATGCAGGCGCTGTCACAGGGGCCAGCGATGGAAACCCCCATGGGGCCACGAAAAGTGTGAGAGGTGCGTCGAAATTGGCGGGGAAACGCATGCGGGCACCGCCACTGAGGCCGTCGGTGGAGCTCCCTATGGGGCCACTGGGCGTGTGAGGGTGGCACCGAAAAAGGTGGGTGGAACAGCATGGGGGCACTGCCGCTGGGGCCTTCGGTGGAGTGCCCCTATGGGGCCACGAAACGTGTGAGGGGTGCGCCGAAATCGGCGGTGGAACCGCGTGCGGGCGCTGCCATTGAGGCTTTCGGTGGAGTGCCCCTATGGGGCCACGAAACATGTGAGGGGTGCGCCGAAATCGGCGGTGGAACCGCATGCGGGCGCTGCCACTCGGGCCTTCGGTGGAGCTCACTATGGGGCCACGAAATGTGTGAAAGGCGCACCGACATGAAGGTGGAATTGCATGTAGGCGCTGCCACTGGAGCCTTCGGTGAAGCTACCCACTGGGCCACGACGCGTGTGTGGGGTGCGCCGACACGTGCGAGGGGTGTGCCGACTAGACATGCGGAAGGCATAGGCAGGGATGGGAGGAGGCAGGAGGGGGAACAAGGAGAGGAGAGGAGAGGACGCGGGGCGCTGTCTTTTCAAAACGAGGACCCAACACCCCAGGATGGCTGGCAAACATACCCGGGCGAAAGACCCAACCATATGCAGTTGCGAGTACCGCGTTGTGGCACCGCTTTCGGTGGAGCGCACCATGGGGCCACGAAACGTGTGAGAGGTGTGCGATGGGCGGGGAGCCGCATGCGAACTGTGCCTCTGAGAGGTGTGCCAAAATTGGCGGGGAACCGCATGTGGGCGCTGCCACTGGGACCTTCGGTGGAGCTCTCTATGGCGCCACGAAACGCGTGGGGGGGGGACGGGCGAAATGGGCGGAGCACCGCATGCGAACTTTGCCACTGGGGCCTTCGGTGGAGTTCCCTACGAGGCTACGAAACGTGTGAGGGATGTGCCGAAATGGGCGGGGAACAGCATGTGAACTTCAACGTGTGACGGATGCGCCGTAATGGACACGCGGAGGGCAGAGGCAGGGATGGGAGGAGAGAGGGGGGGGGAGGAGGAAGGAGAGCAGAAGAGTGACGCAGGGCGCTGTCTCTTCAAAACAAAGACCCAACACCACAGGATGGTTGGGAAAAAACAACGGCCGTTTGTCTTGGTTGCGGCAGATGATGTTGCGCACTCGGCGGCCAAGAATCATATAGCCTGCTATTGGAAGCGCCATACGTTGCGCAGGGGGCGGCCGAGAACAAACCAGTCCAGGCCAGTCCAGACAACCACACAGTTTACCTCGCGACCAAAAATCGGCGCTACGCCCGAAAGGACAGGCGTGTGATTGCTGTTTTGGCATCGGGAGGCCCATCGTCTGGCCCCGGACCCGCAGCAACAAAGACAAATCACAACGAAAGACCAGTCCTGGAGAGCCGGAATATGTCCATGTCCACTGCCGCGATGACGCGGGGACGTGTCCCCAGGGACTCGGGGAGCAGTGGATATGGATATCCGCCGCCCACGCGGGCGGGCAGATATCTACATCCACTGCTCCTCGAGAACCCCGGGGACACGACTCCGAAGTAGGGGACTCCGGGCCCACCCCCAACGCGCGCGAGGCTTTGGGGTCCCAAAACGGTGCGCTGACAAATCGTGCGGTGACCTCGAAATCCCCAAAGACGTCACCGCACGGTCTGTCAGCGCGCCGTTTTGGGACCGCATAGGCCCCAGTCGCCCGAGACGTCCCCAAGGAAAAACGCGAGTCCCAAAACCGTGCGGTCCTTCCGAATGCCCACTGACTCGCCACACCGGTCATCCTCCAGATGTTCGGCCTCAGGGCCATGACTCGGGTCTCCTGCGACCGTCCAGCACGATCCGGGCACCCCCCGCACGCCCTCGGCGAAGCGCCGCTGCCGGAGCGCATCCCGAGGCAGGAAAACGGAACCGACGGAAATGTCCGAAACTCGGCTGCCCCGATGCGCAACACGAAACACGTAGCATGTTGCCATTCAGCTCAACACTCGGATTAAAAACCTACACTATGGCGTGATATGTTCGCCGAAATGCGGGCCAACACCTGCCGAGCCCACAAGCAGCGTGCTCAACCGGGACGTTTCGAACACGGTACGTGTTGCGTTTCAACACGAGCGCATCGGAGCAACTAAAGTCCGAAAACGTCCGAAAACCGGATCAACACACGGCGTGGTCACCGCACCGTCTGTTCCTCCCTCCTCCGTCCTCCATGCCGCGTGCCCCCTCGCCCCCCGTCTTACTCTCGCCCCGAGCCGAGGCAAGCGCGAGGATGACATCGTGCCTCGCACGCAAAGCGTCGTCGCCGTCGCCGTCAGAGTGCTAGTTGTCGCCGTCCAAGGACAACGAGAGAAGGAGGGAAAAGAAGGAGGAGGAAGAGGAGGAGGAGGAGGAGGAGGACGAACGCCACAGGTACTAGCTAAGGTTTGTTTAACGTGAAAGGAAACGGAGGAGGAGGAGGAGGAGGAGGGGGAGGGGGAGGAAAGAGGAGGGGAAGGAGGAGAGAGGGCGAGCAGGAGTAGAAAGAGAAGGAAGAAGAGGAGGACGGAGAGAGGAGGACGGAGAGTGAAGGAGGAAGAGGAGGAGGAGGAGGAGGAGGGAGGAAGAGGAAAGAGGAGGAGGAGGAGGAGGAGGGGAAGAGGAGGAAAGAGAAGGAGGAGGAGAAGGAGGAGGACAAGGACGAGGACGAGGAGGAAGAAGAGGAGGAGAAGGAGGAGGAGGAGGAAAAAGGAGGAGGGGGAGAAGAGGAGGAGAGAGAGCAAGCAAGAGAAGGAGGAGGAGGAGGAGGAAGAGGAAGAGGATGATAGAGAGGAAAAAGAAGAGGAGGGAGGAGGAGGAGGAGGAGGAGGAGAGAGGAGGAGGAAACAAGAGGAGGAGGAGGAGGAAGAAGAAGAACCGACGGAGTGGTCACCGCACCGCCTAGGAACTCCCGACGGACGCCGCGGCCACTGCGCGCGACACGGCTGGCGCCTGCTCCCCCTGGAGGCCGCGGCGGCCGGCTGCCGCTGCTCTGCTGCCCGGCGCCGCCGCCCCACCTGCGGCCCGGCGTCGGCGTCGTCGTCGTCGTCGACGTCATCGATTCCGGCGTTTTCGGGCGTTTCTCGAAGTTCTCGTCGCTACGGCTGGACGCAGCTCGAACAACGGATCAGGATGGACCGCGGGGGTTGTCTGAGAAGCGACACGACGGACGACGACGACGACGACGACGACGACGACGACGACGACGACGACGAGCCCAGTCGATTTTTGCGGCTCGACGCCGACGACGACGACGCCGACGCCGCCGCCGCCGACGCCGACGCCGACGCCAACGACGACGACGACGACGACGACGACGACGACGACGACGACGACGGCGACGGCGACGGCGACGACGGCGCCGGCGAAGCGGCGGCGGCGGCGACAACGACGACAACGACGACGACCCAGACCTTCCACGATATAATGGTCAAGCCCGCCGTTTTCCCTCAAATTCAGCCTCTAAGGATCCGGGACGAAAAACTACAGCTGGGGAAGCGGCCGAGACTTCTCGACGACGACCCAACACATCCAACGCACTGGAACAAATCAAGGCGGACGTGTTCCGCCGTTTTCGGCCTCTGGGCTCCCTCGGCGGGCCTCGGGGCCGTCAAAAAAACGGCTCGGGATGGAAGACTGACCTTGGGGAAGGGGCCCAGACTTCTGGGGACCCTGTCTTGAACTAATCAAAACATCCAATCCCTGGGGACGACGACGACGAGGACGAGGACAGGGGACGAGGACGAAGACAAAGGACGAGAATGAGGACAAGAACGACGACGAAGACAGGGGACGGCCGGAAGCATATGGGATGGTGCGAATCAATATGTACGATGGACGACGGGGCAGAATTCGATTAAAATTACAAATAGAAAAGCAGACCGTGAAGTCGAGGGAGGAGACCCTAATTTTATTTTAGTAAGTTTTGAACTCCATTGTTCGCGCAATCATCCCATTCACCCACCCAAAGCTTGCTTTGCAAAACCCATACGGCGGCGATTGCCATGACTGCGTGGCGCTGGCTGGCGCATCGCCGCGGCCGTGCTAGCGCGCGGAGGGCCGCGCGCACAATGGCCAGCTGGTCTGGCGCGACCGACGCGGCCGCGGTGGCGCTGACCGCCGGGGACTTCCCAGCGCATCTTGCCCGCCGCGCTGACGCGCGGTTACTTCAGTGCGAGTCGGTGACTTGGGCGGGTGCGGTAACAAGGCGACGTCGACACCAGCTGACACGATGATGACAGTGGCAATGCTGGTAACGATGATGACGATCACGGCGACAAGGCCAGTGACGGCGCCGATGCTAGTAACGCCAATGAAAATGATGACGTCCACGCGTCGGCGATGAAGTTTTCGGAAGGATGTCGACATGCGCGCGCGGCCGACGGGCGCGAGTGGCCCGCATGGTACGATTTGACAGTGATCGCGCCCCCCCCCGCATACGCGTAAACGCATTCGAATGACTCCGACATGCGCGCGCCAAGGCCCGCTTGGTCGCATGTGATGACAATGTGGACAACTCAACGGTCTTCATAGGAATTCGTAAAAACGCGCGTAGACCTGTGTTGAAAAAACAGCGGTGCGCAAACCATGATTGTTGTTTACATGTGCTCGGGAATATCGATGTTCAGGTCCATCTGGAACCTAAGGTTGTTGATGGACTCCGGCATGCGAGCGCGACGCCGCGCGCTTGGGAACTCTGCCACATATGTTGCAGCGGCTTCTTGAAAATTGATGGTTTTGACAAACGAATGCGCGCACATAGAATCAAGGGGGAGTCGATAACGGCATTCCCTGGGATGGTACGAGTTCCACTTTTAAAAAAAAGGTTGAGCAAAAAAACGCACGCAACTTGTACCAGCCCAGGGGTAAGCGATGCACCCGGGAAGGGGGTATATCCTAGGATAATATACGTGGTGCCATCTATATGTATATGTGTATATATATATATATGCAAATATATATATATATATATATATATATATATGTATATATGTATATATGTATATATATATATATATATATATATATATATACTGTGCAATCGATGCTGCACAATATATGCTGTGCAACCTATGTGGTGCAACCTATATGGCGCGCAACCTATGTGGTGCAGTCAACGTGGTGCAATCTGCGTAGTGCAATATATGCTGTGCAATCTACGTGGCGCAACTCACGCGGTGCAATCTATGCGGTGATGCAACGAATTCCTGTTCGGAGCGCGCTTGACCACTTCCACTGCTCGCGCAACCATCCCACCCACCTACCCACCCCACCCCACCCGCAACTTGATTTGAAAAACCCATGCGGCGGCGATTGCGATGAATGCTCGGCGTTGGCTGGCGCATCTCTGCGGCCGCGCCAGCCCGCGCATGCGCGCGCGAAGCGGACTGCTAGCTTAGCGCGACAAACGACGACGCGGTGGCGCTGACCGACGTGCACACCCCAACGGGCAATTCAATGCGAGTCGGTGACTCGGGCGGGCGCGGCATCATGGCAACGTCGACAACGGTGGTTATAGCGATGCTGGCGACGATGACGACAACGGCGACGGCAAGGACAGTGATGGCGCCGACGCTGATCACGCCGACGGCGATAACGGCGTCCTCGCGTCGGTGATGAAGGCTCTGGAAAGAGTTTGACATGCGCGCACGGCCGACGCGCGAAAATGGCCTGGATAATATTATTTGACGCAGATCGCCCCCCCCTCCCCCCAGCACGCGCGCGAGGGCGTTCGAATGATGTCGGCATGTGGCGCGAGAGACCGTTTAGCCGAATGTAAAGAACACGTTGAAACGCCTGTGGTTCCCTTAAGAACTCGCAGGGGCGCGAGCGCATCCTTTTTCCCAACCATCCTGTGGTGTTGGGTCCTCGTTTTGAAGAGACGGTGCCCCGCGTTCCTCCTCCTTCCTCCCGCTGCCCCCTCCCTCCCCCTTGCCTCTGCCCTCCGCATGTCTCTGTTTCGGCACATCCCTCACGCGTTCCGTGGCCCCATAGGGAGCTCCACCGAAGGCCCCAGTGGCAGGGTCCGCATGGCGGCCCCGCATTTTGGCGCACCCCTCACACGGTTCGTGGCCCCATAGGGAGCTCCACCGAAGGCCCCAGTGGCAGGGTCCGCATGGCGGCCCCGCATTTTGGCGCACCCCTCACACGGTTCGTGGCCCCATAGGGAGCTCCACCGAAGGCCCCAGTAGCAGGGTCCGCATGGCGGCCCCGCATTTTGGCGCACCCTTCACACGGTTCGTGGCCCCATAGGGAGCTCCACCGAAGGCCCCAGTGGCAGGGTCCGCATGGCGGCCCCGCATTGGGGCGCACCCCTCACACGGTTCGTGGCCCCATAGGGAGCTCCACCGAAGGCCCCAGTGGCAGGGTCCGCATGGCGGCCCCGCATTTTGGCGCACCCCTCACACGGTTCGTGGCCCCATGGGGAGCTCCACCGAAGGCCCCAGTGGCAGGGTCCGCATGGCGGCCCCGCATTTTGGCGCACCCCTCACACGGTTCGTGGCCACATAGGGACCTCCACCGAAGGCCCCAGTGGCAGGGTCCGCATGGCGGCCCCGCCCCATGTTGGCGCACCCCTCACACGGTTCGTGGCCCCATAGGGAGCTCCACCGAAGGCCCCAGTGGCAGGGTCCGCATGGCGGCCCCGCCCCATTTGGCGCACCCCTCACACGGTTCGTGGCCCCATAGGGAGCTCCACCGAAGGCCCCAATGGCAGGGTCCGCATGGCGGCCCCGCCCCATTTTGGCGCACCCCTCACACGGCTCGTGGCCCCATAGGGAGCTCCACCGAAGGCCCCAGTGGCAGGGTCCGCATGGCGGCCCCGCCCCATTTTGGCGCACCCCTCACACGGTTCGTGGCCCCATAGGGAGCTCCACCGAAGATGATGCCCACAATTGCGGTAGTAACAATTGCTTATGGTTGGGTCTTTCGCCAGGCTAATTCGAAAACAGATGTTGCAAAACCATGTGTTGATGTGTTCGGGACACTCGATGATGAGGCCCCTTTCAGAATCCCAAGTTTTTGAAGGATTTCCGCATGCGCGCGCGACGGCGCGCGCGCGTGCACTTCGCCCCGCCTTTTGGCAAGGGGTCAAATCGCGACAGCACGCGCGCAAGGGGCATTTCTGCGATTTCGACATGCGCGCGCGGGGGGCCCGTTTGGTAGCATTTTATGGACAAAAAACAAACCGATGTTTTCTCAATAATCCGCAAGAGCCCGAACGCAAGCTTTTTTGAAAATCTGCGTTGGCAAACCATGTGTTTATATATACACATGTGTACATCGGTAAATGTAGATATACACATATGTTCGGGGCTCTCGATTTGGGAATCTCTGCGAGGCCCCAAGATTTTGAAAGATTCCCGCATGCGCGCGACGACGCGCGCGTGCACTCCGTCACATATATACAAGGGATTGCTGAAACTGCTGATTTGTGATAAACGAATGCGCGCGCATTTGATATCACTGCAGAAGATGAGGGGCAAGACCGGCCTGAGAGGGATGATACGAAACCAAATTTCAATTTCAATACGCGAAGGGGTACTGTTAAATATGGGTGGGGGTTCGATTACCCTTTTAAAAACGGAGAATCTAAGTGATGCAGCGTATGTTGTGCACTAAGCTACCCTGCACCACGCTTGACCACCTCCTGTGCTCGCGCAATCATCCTATCCAACCGCCCACAGCTTGGTTTGCAAAACCAATGCGGTGGCGATTGCGATGAGTGCTTGACGTTGGCTGGTCCATCTCTGCGGCCGCGCCAACCCAAGCGCGCGCGCAGCGGCCAGCTAGTTTGGCGCGACCGGCGCGGCAGCGGTGGCGGTGACCGCTGGGCACATCCCAGCGGGCACTTCTCTGCGATTCGGCGACTTGGGCGGGCGCAATATCATTGCAACGTCGACAACGGTAGACACGATGATGATAGTAGCGATGATGGCGACGATGTTGACAACGACGACGGCGTAGCCAGCGCGGGCACCGATGCTGATCACGCCGACGACGATGACGGCACCCTCGC